ACATTATACCCTAAATACAGGTGTAACATGTAACATGTTGCTAAAACTAAAGTTTTAAGTTTAAATTCTCTGATTTCTCATAGCTTATTTCAAAATTAAACAAGGAACCATACTTGGTAAACTATTTTAATAAGTTGGAGAAAGACAGCTGTGGATTAGTTATAGAAAAAAAGTAAATCAAATTTTGTAACATTTGTTGCCAACTATGAATCTGGAAATATCATTATTATGGAATATACAATATCTCACAGAAGTGAGTACACCCCTCACATTTTTTAAATATTTTAATATATCTTTTTATGTGACAACACTGAAGAAATGACACTTTGCACAATGTAAAGTAGTGAGATTACAGCTTGTATAACAGAGTAAAGTTGCTGTACCCTCAAAATAACTCAATACACAGCCATTAATGTCTAAACCACTGGCAACAAAAGTAAGGGGCACTGCCCGAGGGCCCGGGATCAGTAGGGGGCCCCATGAGATGCCCCTGGTACCTTTTTCATAGGCTTTTTTGAGTTTGGGCAAGGACACAGGGGCCCCATGATCCCCTATTGCCCGGGGGCCCCATGAGTTGTCAGTCCGCCCCTGGTACACCCCTAAGTGAAAATGTCCAAATTAGCCATTTTCCCTCCCCAGTGTCATGTGACTCATTAGTGTTACAAGGTTTCAGGTGTGAATGGGGAGCAGGTGTGTTAAATTTGGTGTTATCGCTCTCACTCTCTCATACTGGTCACTGGAAGTTCAACATGGCACCTCATGGCAAATAACTCTCTGAGGATCTGAAAAAAAGAATTGTTGCTCTGCATAAAGATGGCCTAGGCCGGGTGTCGGCAACCCGCAGCTCCAGAGCCGCATGTGGCTCTTTTTCATCTTTGCTGTGGCTCCGGAGCACACTGACCACCAGGTGACAGGCAATAGGGTTTCAGTGGTCGGCAAGCCGCGGATCGCGAGCCACATGCAGCTCTTCTGTGTGCCGGGCGCCTGCTCCCCTCCCTCCTCTCGGGTGGCCGCCTCAAAAGTCAGGACTCTGCAGCGGCCCGGCGGACCTTTTAATCCGGCCCGCGGAGCGTGGAACATTGGCTGTCAGGATGTAGGCGGGGCAGTGTGACGAACTCCTCTCCTCTCACAGTCCGCCCTGAAGACCAGAACGGCGCGGGAACACGGCGAGAGGAACGCGCGGCGCAAAGGTAAGTGAATTGACACAGGGGGGACTTGGCTTACTACTTGGGGGGGAATAGTACTATGGGGGATGAAATACTATATGAGGGATTAATTAATATGGGGAATGAATTACTATGTGGGGGATGAATTGCTATGTGGGGGATGAATTACTATGGGGGATGAATTACTATGTGGGGGATGAATTACTATATGGGGGATGAATTACTATGGGGAATGAATTACTATGGGGGATGAATTACTATATGGGGGATGAATTACTATGGGGGATGAATTACTATATGGGGGATGAATTACTATGGGGGATGAATTACTATGGGGGATGAATTACTATGGGGGATGAATTACTATATGGGGGATGAATTACTATGGGGGATGAATTACTATATGGGGGATGTATTACTATATGGGGGATGAATTACTATATGGGGGATGAATTACTATGGGGGATGAATTACTATATGGGGGATGAATTACTATGGGGGATGAATTACTATATGGGGGATGTATTTTCAGTTTTAAAAATGTGGCTCTCAAAATAAAAAGTATGCATTTGGAGTGCTGTCGATCTTCGGCTCCACATATGTATGTGAGCAGGTCTTCTCCAACATGAACTATATTAAAAACAAACATCGATCACGCCTCACAGATGACAGCTTGCAAGCCTGTGTGAAAATGAAGGTGACGTCTTACAGCCCTGATGTGCAGACACTGTGCACTGAGGTTCAGGAGAAAAAATCCCATTAACCAGATAAATTAAATATTTTAATTAGCTATTAATGTGCAAAAATATATTTTACATTGTTAAGTGAAAAAGTTCTTTTTTTCTTCAGATTAACAGCTAACTGCACGATCCTGTATATAGCATTAAGGTAAGAAACAATATATGCAGTGTCGGATTTGTTTTAAATGTTGCAATGGTTTTGCGGCTCCCAGTCTTTTTCTTCCCTTCGGAAACGGGTCCAAGTGGCTCTTTATGTCTTAAAGGTTGCAGACCCCTGGCCTAGGCTATAAAAAGATTGCCAAGACCCTGAAACTGAGAGGCAGCATGGTGGCCAAGACCATATAGTAGTTTAACAGGACAGGTTCCACTAAGAACAGGCCTCGCCATGGTCGGCCAAAGAAGTTGGGTGCACGTGCTCAGCCTCATATCCAGAGGTTGTCTTTGGGAAATAGATGTATGAGTGCTGCCAGCATTGCTGCAGAGGTTGAACGGGTGGGGGTGGGGTCAGCCTGTCAGTGCTCAGACCTTTTGCCACACACTGCATCAAATTGGTCTGCATGGCGTCCCAGAAGGAAGCCTCTTCTAAAGATGATGCACAAGAAAGCCCATACGCAATTTGCTGAAGACAAGCAGACTAAGGACATGGATTACTGGAACCATGTCCTATGGTCTGATGAGATCAATGTAAACGTATTTGGTTTCGATGGTGTCAAGTGTGTGTAGTGGCAACCAGGTGAGGAGTACAAAGACAAGTGTGTCTTGCCTACAGTCAAGCATGGTGGTGGGAGTGTCATAATCTGGGGCTGCATGAATGCTACTGGCACTGGGGAGCTACAGTTCATTGAGGGAACCATGAATGCCAACTTGTACTGTGACATACTGAAGCAGAGCATGATCCCCTCCCTTCGGAGACTGGGCTGCAGGGCAGTATTCCAACATGATAATGACCCCAAACACACCTCCAAGATGACCACTGCCTTGCTAAAGAAGCTGAGGGTAAAGGTGATCCTAGATTGTAAGCTCGAAAGAGTAGGGCCCTATAACCCCTCGTGTGCTGTTTGTAGTTGCTGTAATGTTTCATGTATTGTCCCCCCCTCTATTGTACAGCGCTTTGCAAACCCTTTGGCGCTATATAAACTCGATGTAATGTAATGTGATGGACTGGCCAAGCATGTCTCCAGACCTAAACCCTTTTGAGCATCTGTGGGGCATCCTCAAACAAAAGGTGGAGGAGCGAAAGGTCTCTAACATACACCAGCTCCGTGATGTCATCATGGAGGAATGAACTCCAATGACAACTTGTAGTGAACTCCATGCCCAAGAGAGTTAAGGCAGTGCTGGAAAATAATGGTGGTGTCAGCAATGAACTCACCAATGGTGGTGGGACTCACTGCCTTGTGGGCTGCAGTACCAGGGCTGGCCAGCGGATGCTCTCAGCAGCCAGAAGCTCACTCCTGCAATCAAGCCATCACCTGAGGCTGATTGCAGGAGGTGTATTTAAGGAATGGCCAGGCCTGCAGTCAGGGCCTTGGTGCATTGTACTCATGAGCCCCTGTACCTGCATCTTGTGTGCTTCCTGCCTGATCCTGACTCTGCTTGATCCTGACTCTGCTTGAACTCTGCCTGCACCAACCTCGGCTACTCCTGACCAATCTTCTGCCTACTCCTTGTACCTTGTCTGCCCGTTAGCTACCGGCCCGCCTGACTACGTTGTTCTCCATATTTATATATATATATATATATATATATATACATCAGTTTGGGTTTGTTGCACCTTGTTGTACGTATTTGTGTTCGTTTTGGGTTTGGTTTGTTGCACTGCGTTTATGTTTGTGTTGCCCTTAATAAATTATATTGTTTTACACGCTATACCTGAAGTCTGTGTTTCCCTGTGTTGGTCCACACACCTCTGGTCATACCCGGAGCCCTGACATTACACCAAGGCCAGTCCTGACCAGAAGTGGCTGCACAGGGAAGCCATCTTGGCTTGTTGTTGGGAAGGATGCATCCTGAGGAGGTTGTGTACTTGTATCTGCTAGTCTTAGATGACAGAGATTATACCTATCAGACTCTGAAGGAGTATGCCAGGGATCAGCTGCTAGAATGCATACGGATCGCTCATTTCCTAGTAGATCAGGGCACAGAGTTCTCTGAGGTGCAACCATTGATTCAGGCTTGTGCGGAGTTGGCTTCATCTAGTACCCCTGAATGCAGGGATGACTTTGTGCCACCATTTAGTGCAGACCAAGTAGAGTCACTGGTATGGTTATTGGAGGATGATGCGGATTACTTCTTGGAGCATTATTTAGCATGTTCACAACAGGTGGATTGTATAAACTTTGGTCAGACAGGCTTTGTGTAAGCTGAGCTTTGTTCAACCAGTTATACAGTCATGATCAGATTTGTTACACCCAGCCTCAGTCAGCTTGCAACAACCCAGTCCTGCTTCTAATCATTCCTCTGCTCAAAGCACTCTTCCTCTATTTCCCACAGCACCCCCAGTGACAGCCCAGTATACCCTGCTATCTACCACATGTCAGTCCCCTGTTCCCACTCGCTGCACCTATCCTGCCTTTAACCCTGTAAAGAAGTCCTCTGTAGAAACTGCTCCCTCCGTTTACAGACCTGCGCTTACTTGCAGTGCTCCAGTAACAAAAACCAAAAAGAAGCAAAATTTCTTTTCAACCAGTACCATCCTGCCAGTATCCAAACCGGTCAGCCTGCTGTCTGAGAACCCGCCTTCTGTTATCCAGCCTGGTGCCCGCTGTTCAGCCTGATGCCCAGATGCCTGATGACCCAGTGTATGCTACCCAGCCTGATGACCCGATCCAGCCTGATGATCTTACCCGGCCTGATGATCCTACCCTGCCTGATGAACCTACCCGGCCTGATGACCCGATCCGGCCTGATGACCCGATCCAGCCTGATGACCCGATCCAGCCTGGTGCCCCGGGTGCCCGCGGTCCAGCCTGGCACCCTGGGTGCCCGTGGTCCAGCCTGGTGCCCTGGTGTCTGCGGTCCAGCCTGATGCCCCGGTGCCCGCGGTCCAGCCTGACACCCCGGTGCCCGCTGTCTTGTCTGTCCTATCTGATGACTCGGTGCCCGCTGTCATGCCAGATGACTCGGTGCCTGCTGTCGTGCCAGATGACTCGGTGCCCGCTATCGTGCCAAATGACTTGGTGCCCGCTGTCAAGCTTGATGACTCGGTGCCCGCTGTTGAGCTTGGTGACTCGTTGCCCGCTGTTGAGCTTGGTGACCCGGTGCCCGCTGTCATGCCAGATGACTCGGTGCCCGCTGTCGTGCCAGATGACTCGGTGCCCGCTGTCGTGCCAGATGACTCGGTGCCCGCTGTCGAGCTTGGTGACTCGGTGCCGGCTGTCGAGCTTGGTGACTCGGTGCCCGCTGTCGTGCCAAATGACTCGGTGCCCGCTGTAGAGCTTGATGCCTCGGTGCCTGCTGCCTTGCCTGATGGCCTGGTGCCCGCTGCCTCGCCTGATGGCCCGGTGCCCACTGCCTCGCCTAATGGCCCGGTGCCCGCTGCTCCGCTGTATTTAAGGAATGGCCAGGCCTGCAGTCAGGGCCTTGGTGTATTGTTCCCATGAGCCCCTGTACCTGCATGCTGTCTGCTTCCTGCCTGATCCTGACTCTGCTTGATCCTGACTCTGCTTGAACTCTGCCTGCACCGACCTCGGCTACTCCTGACCAATCTTCTGCCTACTCCTTGTACCTTGTCTGCCTGTTAGCTACCGATCCGGCCCGCCTGACTACGTTGTTCTCCATATTTATATATATATATATATCAGTTAAGGTTTGGGTTTGTTGCACCTTGTTGTATGTATTTGTGTTCGTTTTGGGTTTGGTTTGTTGCACTGCGTTTATGTTTGTGTTGCCCTTAATAAATTATGCTGTTTTACACGCTATACCTGAAGTCTGTGTTTCCCTGTGTTGGTCCACACACCTCTGGTCATACCCGGAGCCCTGACAGGTGGCAACACAAAATATTGCCAATTTGGGCCCAATTTGGATATTTTCACTTAGGAGTGTACTCACTTTTGCTGCCAGCGGTTTAGACATTAATGGCTGTCTGTTGAGTTATTTTGAGGGGACAGCAAATTTACACAAGCTGTACACTCACTACATTACATTGCAGCAAAGTGACATTTCTTCAGTGTTGTCACATGAAAAGATATAATAAAATATTTACAAAAATGTGAGGGGTGTACTCACTTCTGTGAGATACTGTAAATCTTAGAAATAGTTCCAATGATGGGGAATAAATAAGTGGGGCTAGGGAAAGGAAACATCCTTGCCTAGTTCCATTTGAGGTCATGAGTCTGTCTACTAATACACTATATACCTTGATCCCTGCTTTAGGAAGAGAATATTTGGCCTGAATCCATTTCCTGACCTTTGGGCCCAAACAAATGTATTGATTAAATCCATAGTTAAAACTTTTTACGTAAAGTTTTTGAAACAAAGAGGCTTCATATGTATACTCTGGTGAGAGAAAAAAGATTTAATGATAAATGTTATATGAGAGTTTTCAGCATTCAGTTATTTTGCTTTTAGGCATGTTTTTTAGGCAGACTCTTCACATATTATTTTACTGAAGGGAACAGGAATGGAAGAGTTTAAAATTTTTACTCCTTTACTTGAGTACTGTCCGTGATACTTTTTTTATTTGCACTAACAAACAATTTTGAGGACAAGCTTTTGGGGAGTGTCCCCTCCTTCAGGTCAAAGCAGTACTGATCACAAAGGTATAGCAGAATGTTAGAAGAGATGTAGGGGATGGAAAAAAAAAAAAAGAAGAGAACAGAGATAAGACACAGCAAAAGGCAAAGTCTGGGGGGGAGGGGGGGGAGAGACAACACTCACAGAGGCAGTCATGCTTGAGGTGATAAAACTGTTGGATAATGATTGAGGAATCCTTATGATACTTTTTGATGGATTGATTTGGTTGCACAGTTTGCAGCGTTTTTTATTGCAGGGTTTGCTTCCATTATTTGTGACATCATAATCAGAAGGAAGTTTCCTACTGATCAGTTTATTTCTGAGGTTGGGGGGTTGTCTGAAGGCCAGTATTGGTGGTTGCTGCAATATTTCTTTCAGAGTTCCATCCTCTGTTATGATGGGTTGTAAATCTTTGATTATTTTTCTTATTCCTTCTAGTGCTGGGTTGTAAGTGGTTACTAAAGGTACATGGTTGTTGTTTTTTTTTTTCTCTTTGTACTGAAGTAGATTTTCCCTTCGGGTTCTCAAGGCTGTGTTTATGCTGGTGTTGATAGTTTTGTCCTTGTAACCTTTCTTATGGAAGGAGTCTGCTAGTGTCCCAAGATGTTTATCTCTGTCTCTTGGGTCAGAACATATTCGGTGGTATCTAATGGCCTGACTGTGTATGATGGCACGTTTCGTGTTTTGGGGGTGGAAGCTAGAACTATGGAGGTAGTTGCATCGGTCAGTGGGTTTCCTATATATTGAGGTGTGAAGCATATCATCCCTGATGTATACTGTGGTGTCTAGGAAGTTGACATGTGTGTTTATGTATTCCATTTTTAGTTTGATTTATGGATGAAAAGTGTTGACCAATGAGTAAAATAGTTTTAGGTATTCTTCACCTTCTGTCCATATGATGAAAATATCATCAATATAACAATAGTATCTGTATGGTTTTTGTTCCATGCTGTTCAGGAATTTTTCCTCCAGGTCAGCCATAAATAAATTGGCATATTGGGGTGCCATTTTACTTCCCATCGCAGTACCCATACATTGAAGATAGATGTCTTTATTGAAAGTAGTTGTGTGTAAGTATGAATTCAATGAGCTGTGTAACATCCTCAGCAGTGTATTTGTGGTTTGGTGAGGATGATAAGGATCTGTGGCATGCAGCTAATCCATCCTTGTGAGGGATATTGCTATAGAGGGATACTACATCCATAGTCACTAGAAGTGTATTAGATGGTAATTGCTGTATGTTGTTGATCTTGTTCAGAAAGTCAGTTGTGTCTTGCAGGAAACTAGCAGTATTCTTGACTAACGGTTTTAAAATATTTACTACAAAGCCTGAGATTTGTTTGGTGAGTGTATTCATACCTGTTATGATGGGTCTGCCTGGATTTCCTGGCTTGTGGATTTTGGGCAGCATGTAGAAGTCCCTGATTACTGGATGATCCAGAATCGCATTTATAAGTTCTGATTGTAGGTGGGCTGGAAGTGTTTTAATGAGACCTTTTAATTGCTTCGTAAAGTCCTGGGTTGGATCATAATCCAGTTTCTTATAGTAGATGGCATTTTCCAGCTGCCTCTGGCCTTCTTGTATGTATTTGTTTGTATCCATCACAATAACTGCTCCCCCTTTATTCGCTGGTTTGATGGTGATGGCCTGATTATTGCGCAAATCGGGTATAGCCTTTTGCTCTAGTGGTGAAAGATTCTAGTGGTGAAAGGGATTCGTAAGTTACATTCAAGAGCTATAGAAACAGTTCAACACTTGTGCTTCATTGTCCTGTCCCAGTGAGGTCAGATTCATTGTTGCTGGAGCACAGAGCAGAAGGCTTGCGACACTGCTTAACTGCTTACCTACAGGGCACTTATACCCCCTTCCTGCCCAGGCCAATTTCCAGCTCTCAGCGCTGTCACACTTTGAATGACAATTGCGCGGTCATGCAACACTGTACCCATATGACATTTTTATAATTTTTTTGCGACAGAGCTTTATTTTGGTGGTATTTAATCACCTCTGGGTTTTTTATTTTTTCTTAAACAAACCAAAACCCACTGAAAATTTTGAAAACAAAAATGTTTTTTCTTAGTTTTTGTTATAAAATTTTGTAAATAAGTGATTTTTCTCCTTCACTGATGTGTGCTAATGAGGCTGTAGTGATGGGCACTGATAAGATGCACTGATGGACACTTATCGGTGGCACTGATGGGCACTGGTAGGCGGCACTGACTGGCACTGTTAGGCAGCACTGACTGGCACTGGTAGGCGGCACTGATGGGTGACACTGAATGGCAGCTCATATGGGCACTGATATGTGGCATTGATGTGCACTGGTAGGCACTGATATGTGGCACTGATGGGCACTGGCACGTGGCACTGTTCAGCACTGGCAGCTGGCACTGATGGACAGTGACAGGTGGCACTTCTGGGGCCACACTGATCATCAGTGCCCTGATGATCAGTGTACATGTCCCCTCCGTGGAATGCCGATTACTGGCTCTCCTCTCCTCTCGAGCTGTCAGCGTGACAGCTCGAGAGGAGAGAAATGCAGATAACCGGAATTTCCCTGTTTACATGTGATCAGCTGTGATTGGACACAGCTGATCACATGACCGAGCCGACATCTTCGGCTCTTTCCGTGGATCGGTGATCTGCTGTGTCCGAGGGAAACAGAGCAACGCTGATCGCCGCGCTGCACGCTCCCTGAGTCGCGCATGCGTGGTGAGAATGAAAGGCTGTCAAAAGACGGCCTATCAGAACAATGAGAGAACCACCTTGCGCCCGTCATTGGACTATATGGCGGGCGGGAGGTGGTTAAATTACAAGTATCATTCCAGCTCCTGAAGGAGCAATCAAGACTCAATTAGGAAGGAGGGGTAAGTTCTGGAATACATGTGGTTGGATTTCTTTTGCCTCCAATCACCAAGAAATAAGGCTTGTTAAATGCTCCCCCACATCATCTTCAGCCCTTTGTCATACATCCCTGCTGTGAGAAATGGCACCACCATTCTTTCTAGCAGGGCAGGCATGAGCACACATGCTCTCCATGCCAGTTTTATAACTGAAAAGGCTCCCAGGCACATCAGAACCAGGTTATCACTTGGAGAATTAACTCTGGAGGGTGGGGCAGTCACAAATGATTTTAAATATTGGATTTTGGAGAGGACCTCACACAAACAGAAGTAAGCAGTTCTGATCGTTGGTGCAATGCATTACAGGCTCCTACAGCCAAAAATATGAAATGTACATTTTTTACCTGCAAACAAATGTGGATTTATTATTTTTGTTCAAAAGGTGAACTTATCCTTTAAGCATTATTATAATTGCTACTTCCTGCTAAACGGGAAAAAAAGATTTTGCTTTGGTACATGTTAAAGTGAAGGAGAGAAAGGAGCTAATCTGAGGTTTAAAGCACTAGTGAGGAAAGGAGATGCTAAACTAATGTTTGAAGAGCATAAAGGGGAAAGAGAGAGTAGCTAATCTAAACTCTAAAGAGTTTAGAAAACAGAGAGGGAGGATGATCTGAGCTATGAAGAGGTTAAAGAGGAAAAGCTGATATGAGGTCTAATGAGGTAAAGAGGAAAGAGATTGGCTGATCTGATGTCTGAATGGGGTTAAGGAGGAAAGGGGGGGGAGGTGATCAGTTACCCATGCATGGCTGGATCTAGGGGGGTACTGGGGTGGCCTACACCCCCCAAATTTCAGCTACGCCCCCTTAGGCAGACTTTATTGAAAAGAAGCTGTCTGCAGCAGCTCACATAGCCCACACAGCACTCCCCCATTCCCTTCCCTGCATGGACAGGAGAGAGAAGATCGATGTACACTGCCTCCTCTTGCCCCTCTCCTTCTGTCTGCCCCACCCACGCTCCAAATCCTAACCAGTGCTGAGCCTGAGAAGATGTGTGGGTGGGAAATTTCAAGCACTGTGGTCTGGATCATGGCTGCAAGATTAATTCCTCTGCCTGAGCCTGCAGAAATCAACCTGGGTGAGTGAGCTGAGCTCTGTGCTACACTGTGCTGTACTCTCCCC